CGGCCCCGGGCCCATGGCACAAGGCGCTCGGGCGGCCCCAGCACCGGCCCTAGGGCACACGACAGCACTGGGTGCAAGGGCATCCCAGTCCCCTGGTGTGCCCCCGGGCGCCCAGCGCGTGAGTGGCCCCCACCTCCCGGGCGCCCGGCGTGTGAGTGGCCCCACCTCCCGGGCGCCCGGGAGCCTCTAAAGGTTGGGGACCTCTGCCTTAGAGACTAACAGATTCATTCGGACATAAGTTTTCCTGGGCGAAACACACGATTGTGTCTCCTAATCACACGCTTTTAACTTCTTCAGGGTTTGAGGCACTTCTCCTGGCTCCCGCAGTTGTTTTGGGGCAAAACATAGTTGCATTTTAAATCTATGACCTGCAAATATTGATACTATACACGTTTCCTTCCCCCTAACCTCAGTGTGCAGCCCTGCTCAGAGGTCAGTTTAATAGACACTGGAACATTCTAAAGGATTGTGCCAGCAGTCCCCAGAAATTCAGCTCAGCTGTCTGAACTGATTTCCTTTCATAAAACATCTGGAAAGGGGACACGGGGCGCTTATTGTGTCGGACGACTTTGTTGTCCTACATTTTCTTATAATTGCACTTCGCTGTCTGCTAAGGACTAAGCAGTCTGATGAATGACCTGTGCACGGCGTGTTTAGCCACACTGACCAATGAAATGGCTGTGGAAAATGCGGTGGTCATTTCACTTATGTCATCGTCTAATGGGGGGTAATGGATCATGGACTCATAATTCTCAACCGGGGGTAATTTTTAGTTTTAATACTTTTTTTTATCTTTAAAGATCACATTTTGAGGAATATAGAGGAATACAGACTCGTTGTCCCAATCAGCACAGATTCCGAGGGCAGGTTCCTCTCTAACCTGGTGTCTGGATCTCCAAAGGGGCGCTTCCGAAGAGATGCTGAGGATGTGCAACATGAAGATTCCAACCAGCTACTATTTTATAATGTCACTGTATTTGGAAGAGAGTTTCACTTCAGGCTGAGGCCGAACTCTAGGTTGGTTGCTCCCGGAGCAACAATTGAATGGCAAGAGGATTCTGACATGACTCATATTGAACCACTCCATGGGAATTGCCTATATGTTGGGGATATCACTGATTTGCCTAACGCGTCAGTTGCTATAAGCAACTGTGATGGGCTGGTAAGCTGCTTTGCTATTATACCTAGTACAATTACTTTACTTATTTTTCCTATAGTACATATATTTAAAACGTGTTGAACCTTGCCCTTAAAACTTGCACCTCTTATGGTGAATTCAAATTTCAGAGAGGTAGCCGTGTTAATCTGTTTCAGCAAAAACATTAAGGAGCCCGATGGTACCTTAAAGCCTAACAAATTTATTAGGGCAGCTTATCCGTTGTTAGTCTTTAAAGAGCCACAGGAATCCTTTTGAATTCAAATTAACTAGGTGTTTCTTAACATAGGGGGAGCTGTGTTGTGACAACCTTTTTTTTTACAGGAGCTTCAGGGGGTAGCCGAGTTAGTCTGTACAGAAAAAAACAACAAATGGTCCGGAAGCACTTTATAGACTAACAAAACTCAGTGGTGATTCTCATTCGATCTTACCTGAGGTTTCTAGCATTTAAAAGAGAAGACCAGGTGCCTGTGCTGACAACATATTTAATCTTTGTAATATGGATTTTCCCTTTTCTCATTTCAGTTTAGGGTGAGAAGGGGACTTTTAGACAAGGGGAGCATAGCAGAGAGATTTGACATGTGTTCTGCTTTTGTCTTTGAAAATGAAACTTGTTCAAAGGATTGGATTGGATTGTTACAGTTTTATAGATCTTTCACTTGAGTGAGTTCTATTGCCTAACCAAGTGATTTATGAAAAATATCAAAAGCATTAAAGGGTTTCATCTACAGGGAGCAATTTATGTTGCTGGGTACATGAGAATTTGTTATGGTTTTCTATTCAATGGCCAAATGATAGCTGTTTGTCAGACATCTGAAAGAAGCATGCTGTTGTTTTAACAGTAATTGCTATGGAGAGCAAACTTTGTTTAAATGATGAAGTGACTTTATTTGGGAATGAACTTCTAATCTGTTCAATAACTTCTTGGTAAACTTTTGTGATTATTTAATTTCTATACAGTTCTGTGATATTTTGAATCAACAATTTGACTCGATTGTAGTCCATTTTTTCCCCCCAGGTAGGCATAGAAAACTGTTGGTTTGCAGCACCAGAAGACATGTCTCAAAAAAGTAAAATGAGATGACATTTCTCTCGCCTCTATTTCCTTATTTCACGCCTGTAATTCTTCCCCTCTCTGAACCGAGTATTCTTATGTCTAGAAGTAGGCTTTAATGTTGCTGTAATTATTTTTTGATGCAGACAGATTGCTAGGGGCAAAAGTTCATTCAAGAATAGGCCCTTTTCTCCATGGCTTTGCACCTTGTGTTGTTATTTATACCTCTGCAGAGTGGGTATATAATACCGCAGTTTGCACAGGTGTAAATAACTTCACAAAGTGCTAGGGAGTGGATAATTAGACTCCAGTGAGCAGTAAAGCCACCTTTCACATAATGCTAGGAAAAGTTTTAAATAATTAAAAGCAAGAAAACAGTAGTTTTCCAAAGAATGCTACCTGGTTGTCTAGTAGTATCCAGAGATAAAGCAATCTTGTTTAATTTATCTTATCAGCTTTCTGAACCTTAAAGACTGAATAATATTTGACTCAGTTAAGAGTATGATCACCAAAGTGCAGGCATTATTTTCGCTTATAGCAGGGGTGGGCAATTACTGGCTTGTTGCTTTTTACTGCCCACCCCAACCTATTGTCTGATGAAAAATCTTTTTTGTGGTCTGTATGCATGGAATAAATTGATTTGTTTCATTGTACTAACTTAAAACTGTCTGTTGCACTTTATTCATTTAGGCCATGTCTTCAGTTATGCACTGGAGATCAATCTTCTGGCGTTCGATTTAATGGGTCTAGTTAAGACCTGCTAAATCAAATGCTGAGGATGGCACCGGTCGGCACTGGAACTCCTTGCAATTGCAAGGAGTAAGGGAAGCTGATAGGAGTATTTGCTCCTGTTGGCCTTCCTCTGTGAAGACAGAGCCAAGCTCGGCTTGCATAGCTGGAGTTGCATAGCTTAACCTGACCTTTCAGGTTAGTGTAGACCTGAACTTAGGCCTAGTTCTTGAAAATGTTTATGCATGTGCTTAATTTCAAGCTCATAAGTAAAGTGCTTTCAGGATTTGGGCCTTGATTTGGAATAGTAGAAATAGCTCTGGAATACTGACCCAAATAGGGTATTTTCGGTTTTTCAAATAAACATCCTGTTTTATCTTTTGTTTGCTTTATGTCACTGCCTAGTACAGGCTTTGGCATTTAGCGAGCAGCTGGAGACTGTTATTTTGCGACAATGTTCTACGTTAGTGACTAGCTCTTCGTAAATATGGGAAAGAGAATTAAATAATAATAATTTTAAACTTCAGCCAGATGAGCATCAGCCAAAAGTTGAAAGCAAATGCAGAAAAACACATAGGGGATGATTCAAATCCCATTAAGGTCAATGAAAAGATTTCTGTAGGTGCTGGATTAGGTCTTAATTATTGAAGTAGATTACGTTAAAAGAATACTTACAGAGATTGCAGACTATGCTGAAATACGGTGGGTTAGTTTTTTATCTGGGTCCATACTTAATATGCTGGGTTCTGCCAAGCATTCTGATTTTTCCCCCTGTCCATTAGGAAAATTAACATATTAAAGAGAGAGGGAATCTAGTGGTCTGAAGATAGGTATGAGACTTGGCAAATTCTCATCCGTCTCTGACACTGATTTGCCCCGGGCCACGTTAATCTCTGTGTCTCAATTCATCCACTTCTAAATGGTTAATTTTAGATACTAAATTGTTTAGAACAGACCATCACTGACAAGTTTATACAGTGCCTGAATTACTCAGGTCTAGTAATGCCCAAATACCTTTTAAAAACAGAGGGGGTTAAGTAATTTTCCCAAAGTCACACAGAAAGTCTGTGGTGGAGCAATGAAAATTGCACTTGGGTATCCTGAGTTCTAGGTTAGTATCCTAATCACTAGGCCATGCTCCCTAGAGCCGCCTTAGGTTCTTAAGCTATGTATTTTAGAAATGTGCATCTGTCTATCTGTGAGTCTGTTTGTTCAGGTATGCCTCCTAAATGGTAAGCGCTGCGGCCACCATTGCTATGCAGCTTACTCTTCTCCTTACTTAAAGCAAGGTCGGGGTTTGGGTTGTGCCAGGAAAATGGGACCTGCCTGGAATGGGATTGTTTTCCATAACATGGAAAGGGAGGGGGCTGATTGGAGGGACAGGATACGGCAGAGTGACCACTGGGGACAGTGAGTGCAGGGGAGAGCTTTACTGAAGAGAGCGCTGGGAGAAGCTGCACCACCAGGAGAGTGGCCGGGTGGGGTTCATCACTTGCTGGCCATAGGACCGGGTAAGTGGCACCCCTGCTCTATAAACTCCTCCCCGCAGGCCCTTGGCCTCAGTGCTGGAGTGGGGGCAGGGGGAAGGGGAGGGGAGGAAATTTCCTACCAGATGGGGGCTGGAGGGAGAAAGACCCTGCTGGATGGGCAGAGGCCAGAGCAGGCCCCACCCCCTCCCAGGGGGTTCATCACTTGCTGGCCATAGGACCGGGTAAGTGGCACCCCTGCTCTATAAACTCCTCCCCGCAGGCCCTTGGCCTCAGTGCTGGAGTGGGGGCAGGGGGAAGGGGAGGGGAGGAAATTTCCTACCAGATGGGGGCTGGAGGGAGAAAGACCCTGCTGGATGGGCAGAGGCCAGAGCAGGCCCCACCCCCTCCCAGAAGAGCCACCACCCAGCCCCTCCAGCACTGTCAGTCTATC